AAACAAATTAAATGTTTTATTTTGTCTTAAATTGAAAATTGAAGTTACTGATGGAGGTTAAACAAATTAAATGTTTTATTTTGTCTTAAATTGAAAATTGAAGTTACTGATGGAGGTTTAACAAATTAAATGTTTTATTTTGTCTTAAATTGAAAATTGAAGTTACTGATGGAGGTTTAACAAAGAGAAACAGCAAGAAGTTCAGAATTGGTTTAGGACTGAAGTAAAACCTTTGAAAAATGGTAAGGAGGTGCAATAATGGAAATTCAGACTCAGGCAAGCTGAAGCGATAACCGAACTAAATTTGGGTTCCCGATTTTTTTTTCACACTCAAAATTTACTAATTACATCATTAGAAGGCGTTCTTAAACTCTTATATTTGTAGACTTGCGAGCCATAAAATTAATGTCACACTGAATTGTTGAATTTCTAAGAGTAATGTAAACCACTCTCAAACTTTAAAGTGAACATTCCATACAAAATATAATCAATAAATAAATAGTAAATAGACAAAAAAACAAGAAACGAATACCTCTTCTTCCTTTTCTTCATGAGTTTCTTCACCAGTAAGTTTAGTTTTGGTCTCTGCACCATCCACCTAAAAATAAAGGTTCTCATAGCTTCATCAAATTTCCAATATCATTTATAGAGGTAAATGTAAGAATAAATCTTATACACTGTTGTTGACAAATACTTTAAAAAAGATTAAACCCATGTGTCACACTCAACACAATCTTTTTTCCCGTCTTTCTCTCCGTGAGAGTTTGACAACTGATACATGTATGAAAAAACAAACAAAAAAAAAGTTAATGCTTCGTAAGCTTTTGCCACAAATAACATTATAAACTTACCTGCTTTAAAGCTCCTGCTTGGGAAAGTCCATGTCTTCTACAGAAAAACACAATAAAAATTGTTACTCTCAAAGATTTTATCAGACCAAGTTCAGATGAAAATGAAATTTTGTACAAGTTAAAAAATTAATAAAAAACATACAAAAACAATATGCATATACTAGTAGTTTCCAACAGATTATACTTCAACAATGGATTTTCATACAAAGTGAATAACATATAAATTATCACTCAATATTTTAGTTACTTAAACAAACCAAAAGCGTGAAAATCAATTTCAATGCCATGTGACAGGTCCTAAAAGATTGTAAAAATTGTGACAGGCCCTGAAAGATTGTAACTATTGCGACAGGTCCTAAAAGATTGTAAAAATTGTGACAGGTCCTGAAAGATTGTAACTATTGTGACAGGTCCTAAAAGATTGTAACTATCGTGATGGGTCCTAAAAGATTAACTATTGTGATAGGTCCTAAAAGACTAACTATTGTGACAGGTCCTAAAAGATTGTAAATATTGTGACAGGTCCTAAAAGATTGTAACTATTATGATGGCTCCTAAAAGACTAACTATGGTGACTGGTCCTAAAAGACTAACTATCATGACAGGTCCTAAAAGACTAACTAATGTGACAGGTCCTAAAAGATTGTAACTATCGTGATGGGCCCTAAAAGACTAACTTTTGTGACAGGTCCTAAAAGATTGTAACTATTATGATGGGATGATGCAAACAAAATTAATTTCACCTTTTATTATCATAGTTCTTATGAAAGACCTTACAACCTTCAAATAATAGCATGTCTGCAATCTTCATTAAGCCAAGACTCTAATTAACAAGTAACATCTAACATACTAACCACCACCAGAGCTTCTAATCCTAGAAACTTACTGCAAAAAATTCTAGTGTATATATTAACTTTTTAAACCCATAATTTTTTGCTCGTTCTGCCAGAATTATTTCCACGGTCTCCTAATAATTATCACCATAACTTATAAAATTTACGGTCTATTTATAAAAGGTAGATAATAACATGGTTTGGATTAGTTTTCAACATAAATGTTATCGGACGCCGTCGTCGTCTGATGGGTAAATCGAGATTTTTGACCAGACCCTAGCAGCATCCGCTCGGGTTTAAGGAGTTAAGAATAGAGACTTCACAATTAAACAAAAGTACATTAAAAGTTTTACAAGTTCCTAGAAATTTTACAAAAAAAAGGAACCAATTTAAAAGATGGATAAGTATATAAATTTTGTTGTTCAATAAATCTTGGACTTATTTTTTTTTAAAATTGACATTTTAAACTTTCTGAAAAAACATAATTGCTCAGACATTATTTTGTAGAAACAGTGTTTAATAATTCAATAAATAAAATTAAGTTGCAATTTAGTAACGAGTGAAGGAAACTAGAAGTCTTAGTTAAAAAAATCCCACACGATATTATATTTTACCTTCCATATTCTAGAAGAGTCGTCTGGACTCTAGTCCCACACAATATTATATTTTACCTTCCATATTCTAGAAGAGTCGTCTGGACTCTAGTCCCACACAATATTATATTTTACCTTCCATATTCTAGAAGAGTCGTCTGGACTCTAGTCCCACGGTAAAATATAATATTGTGTGGGACTAGAGTCCAGACGACTCTTCTAGAATATGGAAGGTAAAATATAATATTGTTTCCATATTCTAGAAGAGTCGTCTGGACTCTAGTCCCACACGATATTATATTTTACCTTCCATATTCTAGAAGAGTCGTCTGGACTCTGGTTTCTTCATCTCTTATTTTGTGTGGAGCTTGATGACGGTATTTTCTTCTAGGTCGGTAACTTTCCTTCAAGGATGAGATGATTAACAACAACTGCATGATTCAACACCTTATCACACACAAAACCAATGACCATAAAAAATTTAATTGCATAATCTCCTGTATTTAATGTCATTACAAAGCCTACATATGCTGCTTGCACCTGAAGTGTATTAAAATGGACTTAAAGCAAAACAAAATACATAAATATATCAAAAAAGAAGCAAAGCATTATACAAAAGACCTTCGAACTCTGGAATATATTATTCATAAGCATTCAACACTGTTATTTTTCGCAATGTTTTTTGTAGTATACAAGTTTGAGGAGAAATATTTGTTACGAGTGTGGTGACACAAGCATTGTTTGATATGGCATATGAACGTACATTACACGTAGTTTAACAAATATTCTATGTGAGATTGCTACAGAAACTTAAGGAATTAGGTTATAAAACAGTTCTTATACATAGTTAAAATATACTGTTTTACAACCAGTTTCGATATACAGAGAATACAAACAATTCCATACTTTGTAAGTCATACATGAATTAAAGAACATAGATTTGGTTGTTAAGATATTTATATTCATTTCAAGTAGGCCAACAACATGGTTAGGTAAGAACCATTAAGTAATATATTGCTTGTTTCGGACATTGTGAAAAGATTTAAAAGTACCAGTCAACTTTTTAAAAACTGAATAAATAAAGTTGTTTAAACATTTGTTTAACAACAAGTAAAAGCTTGGAATGGTCTATTCTTTCATTGTGACCCAGACTAGTTTTTGGAGAA